TGTGTACAAACTTTGAACAGGTATTTAGATGTAAAACTGCACTGGATCAAAGCTCATGTGGGGCATATTGGAAACAAGAGGGACGACTGTCTGGCCAAAGAGGCAGTCTCTATATGGATATCCCCTTTATTGCAATTTCAGGATCTAAACAGATGGCCATCACACACATGAAGAAATTTTACACTGAGAAATGGAAAATCCTATGGGAAAATTCACCAAAAAATAAATGATACGTGAAAATTATCAGAATTTCTAACAAAATTTCAATTTTTAACAATACTGATTTAAACCAAATCTTTACTGTCCACGGGAGATTTTCCTATTATTTTAAGAGATTCAGATTACAAAATAATGAACTTTGTGTTTCTTGTAAAGCAATTGGACAAGCAAAACATTTTATGTAGAGGGCTGTTCTATTTTTGCCGATCAGAGGAAGCTTTACAAGATTGATAATGCTATATATAATGATAATTTTCATATCAGGGCTTTTATATCTTTTGCACAAGATGTTCTTAAATTTATTAATGCAAATCTACGTGTAACTGGAATTCTGATCTGATGTTGTCCTTTGTGTTAATTTTTGTTTGTATGTTCGTGAGTGCTTGTTATATGTTTTCCCCTATTTTTATTTTATATTTGAGTATTATTTGTATCTTATTTATATTTTTTATTATGTATTATTTATTTTGTATCTAATATTCTTTTGGAGTTATTATTAGTCCAAAGGGGCTTTGTCCCTGAAGGACTATTGTTTTCGTTTTGCGATTTTGCGTCGGACTCATAAACGTCGGTTCACTTTTCAAACTGTTGCCACAAAATGTTAGAGTCCTGCATTATATTTGAAGAAATTAAATAATGAAAAATCTGCATAAATGATTGTCTATTTCTCGCATTGTGATAAAACAATGGTACATAGAGCCATCGAATTTTGAATGACGAAATCCTACTGCGAATATGGGCATCTGAAATCCCAAATTTGGAATTTGTTTTATTATAGATCTTATATTTTGTAAAAACTTTAACGATTTTTGATTACAAACTCAATGCTTTAAAAGCGAGAAATGGCAACGTTATATAGAAAAAAAATACTTTTATCTCCAGCTCGCGAGACTGTGTATATCGGAAATTCTAAAGATATGCTTAATTTAACATTATTTTGCGATATTGCTCTTGAACTGAATTTTATGGTTTAAGTGCAAAGAACATGATATTTAATAAATAAAGGTAACACTCAAAACGTTAAAAAAACGCCCCTTTGGACGTAATTTAAAATCTGAAACATTTCAGATTTATTTTATTATTATTATTATTATTTACTATTATTTTTTTTTTCACCATGGGGCCACTTCATGGCCAGGTGGGTCTGAGTGTACCTCCAATGTATTACAATGTATTACCACTAGTCCACATTTTTAGTTTGAATTTGACTGCTTGTGTTTAATTACATCACCGTGAGCCGTAATTGAATTTGCTAGCATCAGAACATGCATTTATGTTCTAAGTTCTTTTTAAATAAGTGGCTTATTTAAACCTTCATCTGATATTACTTTCAGACATAGCGATAATTTGCTTCGTGTCTGTCAGAAGTTTTGGACTATTTAACTTTTACCAGATCAAGTAAACCCTCGTAGGTACATTGTGGAGAGGTTGATAAGTTAGAAAATAAACCATGCAGAAACTAGAGAGAGCTTTGGTCTGCATATTGAGACAAATCTCTAATTGTTAGGAAAGATGCTTAAAGAGAAGGAAATCTATATAAACTAACTAAAATGTTTTGGAAGGCTTCAAATGAAAAAGACGTGTATGTTTTGTAACAACAACACTTAATAGAACATAGCTTGTAATGTTGTTACAAAACATCATTAAAAGCTACAAAACATAATTGTTTTGTAGCTTTTAGTGTGTAATTTATCCTAATATCATGTAAGAATCAATGTCATAAATTACATGTATTTTAAACTGTAAAATTTAATTAGATTTTGATTTTAATAGGGCTTTTTAACAAATATTGTTAAATAAAATTTAATTGTGGCCATGTAAATCCATAATGACTAAGTTATCTAACTACCTAATTTAATTATTTGTAACTAACTGCTTATCCCTTAAAATTATCTCTACATATTAAAGCGAGTTATTGCCTTTCATTAATACTCATTGTGATCACAAGATAAAACACAAAAATGTAAAAATTCAAGTAAAACTGATAAAGAATAAGTTGTAAACTTATAAGAAGTTGCAAACTTATAAAGAATAAGATAGAGCATCTAGTGTAACTTAAAATGATACAAAATAACTTATCACCTCTGGTGCTTTAATGGCTCATTGAAACCTTAAAGTATATTAACTAGGTTACAACCCCTGGAACTCTACATGAAGCTACGACACTAACTGCATCAAATAAAGCCTCACTAACTTTCAACACTTGCCAACAGTGTCTACATCAGGCCTTTCAGGTTTGTTCTAATCTGCAGATCTCTCTAGACAATCAGTAGCAGTGAAAACATTGTCTTTTGTTATGAATTATGCTGATTATATATGATCTTACTTCTCATTTTAACCTATGCTGTTTGACATAAAAATCTACCTGCTATTTATTAAACCTCTAGATTGACCAAGTCTATGACAAAATGAGACATTAAGAAAATCAACATAAAGCTAACTGTTAGTGAAACGTAAATGTCACTTATCTTTTTTCAAATATGTCCAATTATTATAAGTGTAAAATATGTAATGCTACTTGATAAATTGCATAAAGTTTATTTCATTCTCAAACTTATTAACCGCTTGCCTGATCATCCCGAGTTATCTCGGTTTCGTATATATTGCAGTTAATTATTATCCTGAGAAAACTCGGGCGAAGCAGAATTTGTTAGTACAATTTCTTTTAGTCACAGTTTTACTCGGTCTGGAGGAAATGAAAGGAAATATTTAGCTTTAATTGGCAGTTTGTCAAATTTTGTTGGTCGCTTGTTTCCCTATTGTATAGTATACGTTGGCTTGTGGATTAGTAATGTATAAAAAAGGATGCATGCGTTGGAAAAAAATAAAATAATGGCGATGATGGAAGATAGCGAAAGTGATGATTTTTCAGATAGTGATTATGAAAAGGTTGGGGGGGGGAAATCAAATTCAACGAGACAGTGTACTCTGTGCTCCCGTGAAAGAGATTCCAGCGGTAAGCCAGTAAGAAAAGAGACCAGATACCAGTGTAGAACTTCAGGTATCACTATGTGTTGTCCCTTGTTTCAAAAACTATCATACAAAGATTAAATACTAATTCAGAAGTCAAACAACAAAAATCAGCGTTAATTTACAAATTTTTCACAGGACTAGTTTCGATGGTTTTACCGAACCATCATCTTCAGCTGCAAAACCGCAAATGAACAAGATAGGAAATAATGTTTAGATAAGATAAGAAAGCCTGGACAAAAATAAGCAAGTGGCGCCAACCTTCATCGGTTTGCCTTCCACCACACTTTAAATCATGTCATCCGACTAAACAAAAGTTAGCTTCATTTTATTCGTATGTTTTCCGTGCTCTTCAAGTTTGCTCCTCCAAACTAGCCCTTGATGAAGAACTAAATTATTTAAAAGCAATAGCTATTGACAGGGGCTTTTCACCCAACATTATTAATCAAGCAGTTAAAAAATTCTCATCTCAACACACTAAAAGCCACACTCTTATTTTAGGAGATTATAAAAATTCTGTTGTCATTCCCTTCTTTCCATCAATTAGCTATAAAGTTGCACATATTTTGCAGAAATTTAACTTTCGGGTTGTTTACTCTCCCATCAATAAAATTCCAACTTCTATACTCAAGGACCCCATTCCGGATATGAATTCCTGGGGTATTTATAGGATTCCTTGCCAGTGCGGTTTAATTTACATTGGCCAAACTAAGAGAGCCTTAAAATTTCGCGTCAAAGAACGTGAGGCATATGTTAGAAAAAAGGAAACACAGAAGTCTTCTGTTGCTCAACATTGTTGGTCCGAAAATCACACTTTCAATTTTTCTGCTGCCAAAATTATTCAAAAAACATCTTCCATTGGAGAACTGGATTTTCTAGAGGCATTTCACATTCATAAAAATCTTTCTGTTCTAGTTAACGATCCTAATTCCAATCCAAATTTGCCTTCGGCTTTTAGAGAAATTATGTTTTAGTTCTGGTTTCGCCAACAGATGGCGCCACTTGCTTATTCTTGTCCAGGCTTTCTTATCTTATCTAAACATTATTTCCTATCTTGTTCATTTGCGGTTTTGCAGCTGAAGATGATGGTTCGGAAAACCATCGAAACTAGTCCTGTGAAAAATTTGTAAATTAACGCTGATTTTTGTTGTTTGACTTCTGAATTAGTATTTATTCGGCGTGTTATTGTGTCTTAATTAAAGATTAAATATTTAACTTTTTTTCGTTTGCCTGAGATAACTCGGGATAGTAAACTAATATTAAAAATAAATGCTTTTACACCTTCAAAAAATTAAAACTTCAACTTAAAACCTACATATTTTGATTTGTTTCATTTTGTTGTATTTAATAATAAAATAAAAAAATGTGATGATTTTTTGCAATTTTTTTCCAAAAAATTTGTAAGGGAAGCGGTTAACAATTATGTTAATTCATGTTTAGTAATAATGCATACTTCTTAGGGATCTATTTTGTTTTTAGGATGGTATTACAAAAATGAAATTCAGTCATAGATAATATTTTAATTGAATTTATCATGTTCCTTACTAACAGGTCCTTAAATTTTTCATTAATGGTCCTTAAAAGTCCTTAATTTCCATATGCAGAAATGTGTATGAACCCTGATTTAAGTAATAGTGTGGCATATTTTATCATTTCATTGCTGAAAAATGAAATGAATAATCTTTTGGAATTAACTATAATAAATTGCAATTATTTCATTGTTTGTACTTAGTTTTGCTTTTGTATTGATTTTATTGCTTTTTTTTTTTTTTTTTTTTTTCAATCTACAACAGATAATTTTCTTTCCTTAGAGGGAAACTAATTTAGAACTAGGCAGTTTACTAAGATGCAATTATCAACCTATACATAATGAACTGCTATTACATCTTAGCACACACTATGAACAGGTTTTCAGTGGTTTGGCTATATTAGCTCTTAAAAGTGGAGATACTGGTGGAACAAATTCTGTGATTGTACATACTGAAGATATGGTATGATTATAAATTTCATATTAAATAACTGCTATTTTTATATGTATATACAAATTGCAAAATATTATTTTATTTCTGTAGTAGTTTTTTGTTATAAAAACTATTTCTATAGTTTCCCTCACAAGCGTTGAAAAATTAACATTTAATGGATGCTTTTAATTGAAATCACATTTGAGTTGTTCTTACTGCCTTACTAGCCACTAAAATGGGTTATCAATTTTGCATCTAATTTATTTTCAAAACTGCGGTTCTTAGAAACATTTATTCATAAAAAATTGTTACTGTCACAATTTTTTAGTAGTCTTTATTATATTAGTAGTCAAAAACTGAGATGCTAAATGGAAAGTAGTTCAATGATTCTGTTTCTATATTTAATATTTCAAGTAGTATCAATGCTATTGGATAAACTGTTCTTTCTGTTTTATTTATTTAAATTTTTATATTCCTTTTAAAAAGGAAATATTTTTAAGCAAACATCAAGATTAATTGTAAATCAATGAAATTTTCTAAAGAAGCGTTGCAATTTTAATTAATGAAGATCTGTTTTTATTTATGATTAAAATTTGGGAAAAAATGAAATTTTGCTTTTCTTAATGTTTTATTTTTATATTTTCAGATAAATATGTTGTTACATTTTTATAAATATGAATAACTGAAATTAATTTTCAAATAAATACAATTTTATAGTAATTTTACAAAATATATTGCATTAATACATTGTTATGCATTTTTAGGCCAATTATCTTCAACCCAAACTTTTAGGCTTTTTAGTATTTTTTGATGCTCAGATGTTGAAAAGTTCTATGGATGATAAAAAATTGGTAATTATTTTATTAAGTTGATATTTCTTACTTTAATACGCAAGCCTTAACTATATTGACATAAGCAATCTAATTATTTTCATACTAAATGAGCTATTTATATGAATAATATATACCATTATTATAACTTCAAAAAGATAGTTTTTTTTATAAAAAATTATGTTAATAATAGTGGAAATTTTCTAAAATCTAATTAAAAAAAGTTGGAAAATCATGATAGGAAGATGTTAAAAATAGAAATAATAATAATTTGTAATACTTTCTTCTTCTTTTTTTTTTTTTTTTTTTCCAATTCTTTTTCACCTTGTTTGTATTGATATATTGATGTATTGATAATTCCAAAATTTTATAAAAACAAAAGTTGAAAAATTAGGAAAGGAAGATATTAAAAATAGGAATAGCTTATTCCCTTTATTTTTCTATATTCTTTTTAATAATTTTAATTTTTGAGTATTTTTATTTACAAATTCCAAAAAAATTAATTCTTCTCATACTGACTTTAATAACATTTTTTTTTTTTTCTTTTTCACCTTTTTTTTAATGCATAAAATAATTAACATACTTGAAGGTTATATTGTCTTTGTTATCTAAGGCAGTGGTCGGCAAACTTATTAGCCAAAGAGCCAAATATGAACATTACAACAATTTAAGAAAAAAATTGGGAGCCAAATCTGCTTGTTTAGTAAACTTTTATTACACTAAATAAAACTAAATTTAATACTTAATAAATATTTATTAATGTGAACAATGTGCTTACATCTTGAAAAGTTTGAGTAAGTCAGGATTGTATGTTGTTGTTTTTTAATTTTAGGCATGATTCCAAGTTCTCATCAATAAGACAACTTCTCAGTTTACTTTTGATAATGTTCATGCTTGAAAAAGATTGTTCGCATATATATGTAGAAACAAAAAGGGAAAGAACAGCAAACGCTAACTTTTCAGCTGATCGCAGGAGTCAGGAATACTATTCCAAGCGTTGAAAATGATCATGTCTTCCTTCTCCAGGTCATTCAAAGCAGACTACTTGTGTTGTGAACTAAGATCACATTTTTTTTCTTCTCCAATATTTCCTATTCAAAACAAAGACGTTCGAATTTAGAGCACCATATCTCTTTGTTTTTTAAATCCAGCAATTGTATTTCAAAGCTACCAATATCAATTTCAAAAGGAGAAAATTTCAGCTCGATTATCATAGCATTAAGAGGATTTTTGACAAATGTTAAAGTTGCTCTGCTGTTTTTAAATTCCTGAAATCTGCTGAGAAATGCTTCCCTCATATTTAAAATTATTGTTTTAAAATGGTGTTTATTAATAGAGGAATTATTTTCTTGGCGATGCTTCAGCAGGCTCTGAAAGTGAAACGATGTTTCCCTTTCAAAATCCTGTGCAAAAATGGATAATTTGTTTTCGAATGTTATTTCTTCTAACATCGAAAAAATTAAGTTTCCTTTCCCTTGTAGTTTACGATTAAGCTGATTTAGATGAGACGTAACGTCTACCATGAAATAAAAGTTTTGGATCCACTGATCGTCTGTTAGTTCTGGATAGTGAACACCCTTCTCAAGGAGAAATGCTTTAATTTCCAGGAAAAGGGACACGAAACTTTTTAAAACGTTCCATCTTGATAACCAACGTACCTTGTTATGAAGTAGAAGATCAGCATACTCACTCTCCGTTTCAAATAAAAATTCTTTGAATTGGCGATGATTAAGAGCTTTAGCTAAAATGGAGTTGATAATGGTAATCACTAATTCCATAACTTTACAAATTTCTTCCGGAAATTTTTGCGCACAAAGCTCTTCTTGGTGAATGATACAATGGTAAACAAGTATCTCGTGATTAATTTTTTCTTTCAAAATAGCAACAACCCCTTTTCTTATGCCGGTCATACATTAAGCACCATCTGTTGAAATCGACCCAATTTTATCGAAGGGAATATGATGTTTATTCATACACTCAATTATAGCATTGGAGATATCTTTTCCACGCGTCTGACATTTGAGTGGCAATAATCTTAAAAGTTCTTCTTTAGGGCCTGAATGAGACACAAATCTTACAAAAAGTGAAACTTGCGCTGTATCATTATGTCACAAGACTCGTCAACTGCTGTCGATAAAGCCGAAACCAATTTTAGATCTTCGATATGCTGGGTGATTATATTCGAACACATTTTAATTGTTCTATCTTTAATGGTTTTGGCAGACAATGGTAACTCTTTAATTCTTTTCAGAATATCTGCTTTGTTCTTAAAATCCCAAAATAGCTATTCAGATGCATTTATAAACAATATTTTATGTATTCGCCGTCTGTGTATAGTTTTCCTCTCTTAGCAACCTCTTGGCTACAAACAAAACTTGCCATATTAATATTGCTGGAAGATTGCATCCAGTTATTAAACACAGAAGTTGACGACTCTTGACTCTTCTGAAGTTCCTCAACTGCTTTCTTCCTTGCATCACCAGTAGGATATTTAGTGCTAATTGACGCGTGCTTTCTTGTAAAGTATCTCTAAATTTGACTTTTTGTTATGTGCGAATTTCTCCTTACAAATAAGACATGTCGGAAGTCCATTCAAGTTTTGAATAAACGCAAAATTCTTGGTCCACTCAACTTTAAATTCGCGGTTTTTATCTTCCATTTTACTTTGCTTTTTTTTTTTTTTTGGTAGCCATGTTAATTAAACCATTTGGGTGCCTATAAAAATATTCCAAAAATTTTTTTCTAAAGCCCCCAATACAAAATTATTATCATTATTAAATTGAGGAAAATAAAAATAAAAAAGAATCCTTTTAAAAAATACAATTTTATTAATATATGTAACTGCACTAAAAAGAAAAAAAAAATCCATCATCAGAATAACAAAACTTTTAATATGACCAAAAATGGAAGAAAACTTCCAACATTTTGACAAATAGAAGTTATCGAAAAATCGATTACAAATTTTGTACCGAAACCACAAACATACATAGCAGGTGTAATAAAATCATATAAAAATACCTGTAAGATGTGCAGCTAGATTAAAAAATACAACAACTTTTTAATAAAACAGGACAACGGCAGATACAGTAGATAAGACAAAACTGTTCACACTGCAACTGCTGCTCTGTGATTCCAATTTGTGCCTTCACTACTTTATAAAAAGCATGCACGCGCATGCCGGTAGCTTGTACATGGTTTATGTTTACGTTTACGAAAACTAATAAAATTAAACTCGACGTTCGTTACATATTTTTACAACAATATAAAATTTTAATTACCTATCTATCTTTTTACTCAAACAAAAAATTATACATGTTCTCGATTTATAGAAGAATTTTAATTTATCAAAATAAGATGTAATTTTTTTTCTTACCAAGTTTTTTTTAAATGAAAATATTAGTGCACCTTCTGTGGATATTTGTACCAGAGCCGCACTTAAGGAGCCAAAGAGCCACATGCGGCTCTGGATCCGCACTTTGCCGACCACTGGTCTAAGGCCTTTAAATTGTGCATTCATGTATGTTATCAGTGTACACAAATTCTTCATAAGAATGAAAAGCTGTTTGTCATTACAGCAGTAAATAACTAAATTTTCTAAGATTTGATTTGTATTACATTATTATACTTCGATAGTTTAAATAATAATCTTTCAATTCATTTCTTATGAATAAAATAAAATTGACGTATGTTACTTCAATGACTTAACATTTGTATGTGCATATGCTTGTATGATTTGCGTAAACATAATTTTTCTTTCCTTTTCAATTTAGTTCTGCATACTACAGCTAAATGTTTGAACATGGCATTAACTAAATTTAATTTAATAGGCATTTTACTTTAACAGACAGCCCCTATTAATATACAGTTTCCTTAAATTCTTGAAAAAAGAGATTGATGCCTCTTCCTGATTTAGTGGACACTCCTTGATACTGGATTAAAAGCTTAGTCCCATCAATGTTTGATAATGGAAGGATTGAATATTATTCTGCTTATATTATAAAAATTTTAGTCTCAAACTAGGCAGATTGTAATTCCTGCATGGCGTGAATAATTTCTTGCATAATATGAATATCTATGTAATATTTCTCTAGACTGTTTTTAATCATTCACCTGAAATCCGAAGTATTAGATTTCTTGCAGATTTTTACATTTGGTTCGAGACGGGGCCATGACTACCACTGAGGCACGATTGCATACATCTTGGAGATGTGCTGGAAGCTGCTCTTCTACAGTGGCTCCCTCATTTATTTCACACACACAGAATCTTATTTTGTGCTTTCAATAACAGTTCAAAACTCACTATGTCCTCCATGGCATAAGCATTGGGAGATGAGCCTTAATGGGCATTGAAAGGCTTTATTTCATGAGATGCAGATACAAAAAACTGTGTTTAAATTTTTTTTCTGCCCTTGCACGGTGCAGCAACAGCATGCCCCGCACCTTCTTGCAGATATGCTGAGGAAGTTTAATATTGTCAACCTCACCTTGAGAAGATGAGGGGTGCCCTAGGGGCAAGCAAACTACATGCATGGTCAATGTGCCAGTGTCCCAAGCTTAGGGGACCTTGAATGAAAAGGAAAAAAGCCATCAGTTCTTTTATATTGAAGACTGTGTTTTAGAAAAAATTGAAAATTTAAATTTCACCAACGATAGTTATATTTCCTCTTTCCAAGCTAACAAATTTTTTTATCTAATTAGAATAATGTATATTTCTAATTAAATAAAGAATTCGAATACAGCGAGTCACTTGAATATGTTGATGATTATAATCAGATTATGTCAACCCTGTTGCCACATAGTGCTATAAAATATTTTATTCCAGAACTCCAAAACGAGCCTATCAACATTTTAGCATCTGAAATTAACATTTTTACTGCTTATCCTGTGATTACCACGGGCAACATGAAAGTACCAAAATTTGCTGATATCAGAATTTTCAAGGGTATGCAATGTTTAACTGTGTTTAAAAATGAATCCTGCTTTTTCTGTCTTTAATTGTTATTAATGCATTTTATACAATA